TGCAGATCTCTCGCACACCCCCATACTGGATGTAACCCCAGACCATGATTTTTCTGCCACCAAACTTCACTGTTTTCTGGGTGAATCTCGGATCCATGCGGGCTCCAGTAGGTCTCCTGCAATATTTGCGGCGACTGTGGTGTAATTCAACATAATAATAATAATAAACTTTATTACAGACTCACCGGTCCAGATAAAAAAGACAGACAAATAAGACAATACACACAATATAATACATACTTCAAAGGAGACAACTATACCAATGCTTCCATAACTTGGACACATACCGTGTAGTGCTAAATTTGATATTGGTCAAAGTCACAATTATATAATTCTCTGAGTTATTCAACCGACATATAAATTTGTACATGAAATTTCTCAATGTGGCTTGCAGGGTATTAACACCTGCCGCCACAAACATCTCACTGGCGCTACACCAGCATGGTCTTCTCAGCAGAATTCTCAAAGCATCATTATAAGCTACCTGAATTTTATGCAAGCTGGCTTTGCTGAAGCTAGACCACAAGTGGGCAGTGTAGAGAGGAGTGCAGTAAGCTCTGAACAAAGCAACTTTCACTCTATCTGTGCATCCACCAAACTTGCGAGCCAAACTATTCGCCTGAGCATATAAAGAGCGGCATTGCCTATAAACGTCAAGGTCATCCTTCAACTGGTCTGTAATAAAATGCCCAAGATACTTACATTTGCTCAAAACTATCAAGGAATTACTTGCCAATTTAAAAGTAGGAAACATTTGACATTTATCATCCTTAGTTCTGCAAATCATCACCGCACTCTTGTCTGTATTAAATTTCATGTCTTGAGCAATTCCATATTCAGAGCAAACATTAAGAAGCTGTTGAAGGCCAGCACTGCTAGGACTGAAGACAACAAGATCATCCGCGTACATGATATGATTCACTAAGGTGTTACCTATCATACACCCAGTGTTACACAGATTCAAGCAGACAGAGAGCTCATCAACATACACATTAAAAAGAAAAGGGGAGAGGATTCCACCTTGTCTGACCCCGTTCCTGACCCCAAAAGGGGCAGAAACACAGTGACCCCATTTTATACACATCGAATGGTTGGCATACCAGAAGGACAGAATTCTCACAATACATTTAGAAACACCTGTCTTACTCATTTTGTCAAATAACTTATAATGATTGACACGGTCAAAAGCTTTTGAGGCATCAATAAAACTCATTAAAACTGAGGAGAGAAGATTCATCTGAAAAATCCACCTTCTTCCACTTTTCCAGCATCCATCCTTTTAGCAGGTTGTGAGCCTTGGCAAATGGGGTGAAGCACAACATCAATATCAAGTCTTGTCTAAAATACCAAGAACTCTTAGCTACCTCTTATATTCCCAAGGTAAGCCCAGAATTCGGATATTTTGGCGCCGGCTGCGGCTTTCGAGGTCTGATACTTTAGCCTTGAGCCATTCATTATCCTTCTGGAGCCTCGAACACGTAGCTTCGACTTGCTTAAGCTGTTGACTAATTTCCGTAGTGGCAGATTCGAGATTACCGATGCGAAAATCATGATCTGCCACAGTGGACTGAATGCTATCCAGTTTGGTTGCTAAGCTTTTGAAAGATGTTTTGAAGTCCGCGGTGATCGAGGCTCTGAGATCGTCATGCAAAGCACTTATCTCGGCTAGCGTTATGCTAGCACCCGGTGCAGAGGCGCCTTCTCGGTCTTTATCAACCTGTTTTCCCTTTCCTTTCGACATTTCACAAGTAATTGAAATCACGAAGCAGCTAATAAACAAATACTATCAGATGACAACGAAAATGCTGAGGTTTAACCTCACTCACAGAGAAAACACTGAAAAGTTCAGGAAGCGAGCCGCACACACGTCTACTTCTCAGGCGCCATAACTGGAAACCCTCTACTCTCAGCCTTTGGTCCTCTGTTGTCCAAAGGAACAATTTTCCATACTGGCAGAGGTCCCCACAATTTTACAAAATACATAGCTTTATGCTCCACAAGATGCCCTATCTAGTCTCCACTAACTAACAGAAACAGAAATACAAGGTGTGGCGCTCGCCCCTACCCTAGTGTACTAGACAGAATCGAAAACCCCTGCGTGTTGCAGTGTATGTCACGTGACATGCTATCTGTCTATCTCCTCTCCATACTAGTAACCTCCAGCGCTCTGCAGAGCAGGTCACATAAAATCAGAGAGTCAAACACAGGGAGAGTTCACTCATACAACTTAACATCACACCGAGTGAACGAGGACCATAACCTCAACAGGGTATACAAAGGAGCAGCGTAACAGTGACAGAGAGCAGCGTGGTTTGAGTCTCAGCGAGCCGAGAGCTTCCGTGGAGACGTCTGGCGTGCACTCTTATTCCCCAGGTGGCCTGATCCCATTGGCGATGGCGAGAAGAGGTGACGTCAGCGCCAACGATGATTGACAGGTCAATTGGCAAATCATGGGTACCTACAAAAGCGCTTTCTTTTTCTTTCCATTTCCTTTCTCCTTGTCTGTCCCTTCTATGAATCCAAAAACTCCACGTCTTCCCTCGATAGGAAACTACCAGACATCGACCCCAGCTCCGACACCTCCACCTCTTCCTCTGATGTCACTACAGGAGGCACTATCAGGGATCCAGCCATCAACGACCCATCCACAAACTCAGGTAAGCCCAAAGACTCCTCATCATCCGTCCGCTGATCCAGCACACTAAATGAATTTGATACCTCAATCTTATTTTCTTCCTCGTTTCCTTCCATTTTTTTCCTTTTATTTGTCTTAGAAGCTAACTTCCAAGATCTTTCAGCTCCTTGCTCTTCCTCATCCTCCATTCTGTCACCCCAGGAAATATTAGTTGTGAGCTGTAAGGTGTCTGGAATCACTGTACCCTGTAACTCACCCCCCTCCTCTTCCATTTTCTCAGATTCCTCAAAAGCTGGATTTGTTAGCTTAGCTGGGACAGAAGCTGAAACAGGGCTTCTTGCTGTGACTCCTCTCACTCCCTCCATTATCTCTGTATCTGTAGGTGAACCCATCTGGTATACTTCCCCATTCTGGCTAGTAAGAGCTCCATGGTATACCTGTACTTCCTTAAAAACAACCTCAATTGGCCTAAGGTCTCCTCCTTCTTCTCCTCTTGCTGCACTGGCATACGTTCTTTTCCGTTTTGGACATGTTCTGAAGAGATGATCAGTACCCCCACAGTCTTTGCACACTTTTGGTTTCAGACACTTTGAAGCACCATGTCCCAGATCTTAACAGTTCAGACATCTTATAACGCATTGGTATTCCAAGTGTCCAAATTCCTGACATCTTCTACAAAATTGAGGCTGACCGGAGAACACTATGTTGTGTGTTCTAAAACTAAAACTGGCCAGAGGATGGTGGTAACCCTGGAAACCAGCTGGGTCCTCGTTGAGTAACACTTGATACTGCCTTTGTACCTTACTGTCGATATTATTCTAACATGGTTTCGAAGAAAAGATTCCACCTCTTCATATTCCATATTCATGTCAAACATGTTGATTGTCAAAATCCGGAAATTGTTTCTCCCCAAAGACTGTATTCTAAACTTATCCAGAGGATGCTGACCTTTTTCTCTGAACTTTTCCAAAAGTCTCTGAAACAAAATGCTGTCTTTCATCGTGACATCAAAATACTCGTCTTTACCATTTCTTTGGATTCCAAGGATCTCTGGAGGGTCAATCTTCAACAAATTGATGATGACTTTTTGGATGAATTCTTCACTTTCCGGCATCTCTTCTTCTCTGGATCCTTCCCAGTAAAGTCTCGACGTGTTCTTTACTCTTCTCTCAAAAATTCCTTCCGCCATCTCTTCCCCACTCCTTCACAGACCTTTAGCCACCAAGAACTGCGGTCAAGTCACTTGCACTTGATCTTACCCAAAAGGCCGACAAGCGATGACGCAATGACGCCGAGGCAGGGGAGCCGGCAAAGGCCACGCCCACCTGGGCCGTGGCAAGAGGGTCTAAGGTCACCAGCAAACAAGCTCAGCTCAGATTGGTTGACACCGAAAATGGATCACAATAGAGTGCACAGCACGACACTATGGAGTGCAACCTGGGATTTTGGATCATCAACATTCCGCCCTAAAAGTGAGCGGGCCGACCAAAGCGTCCGTCGTAGAGACTTGAAACTCTGAGGGATGGTAGGACCCGTCGGTATTACAACATCAACAAGGCTCGCCCCGATCGGCCCCAAGGTGGCGCTGCAGTGATCAAAAGTACAAAATGGCTCGTAACTCCTCGACCGTCGGTCGCAGACCCAAGTGTCTTACATCACCGGAATCCTTGGCTCGAGTTGAACAAGATGCATGCCTCGGATTGGGTGGTCGAGATTTTCGGGTATTTTGGATTTTCTGAAAAACCTACTTTTGCACACTAGTCCTAGGTTTTTTGCCCGATCTGACCCAAAACGGTGCAGAAAGATTCTCTGGAGTCTGACTGTCAACAGGGATCGGGAAACAGTCGGAATTTCCATCCACGTTGGCGACGGTATGCCAAAACGTTGGGGGTGGGTGAGGCAGGCTTTACTTAAATGGCTATAACTCTCCAACGGAATGAGACAATTGCACCCAACTCTGTACACCTGTGTACAGGCTCAGCCCGTGGTCACGTGAAGAGGAATGTGGTGACTGGCCACTTGGTGGCGCTGTAAACAGAAAAAAAAACACAACATGGGCAATTGTATATCACGTGATGTTTCACACATGCACAATGTATTCATACCACATGATAGAACTCCTCATTCCGAACAACTTTGCCTCCAGGACAACTGCTGTGAATTAAATCGTTCGTCAAATATTGGAGATTATTTGAAGAATTAAAAAAAGAAAACCCTCCTTTCACAGACCGGTCCTAGACTGTTTCATATCTCCCGATCAACCACTGCAGTTCAACTCTCTGGACTGCCTCTATATATTGAAGAAGTAGAAAAAAAAGAACCTCAAATGGAACTTTAACAATCTGCTCTTTTAACCAGTGTTGTCCAGGGGAGAGCGCGAACGCAGTCCCCCACTACCATAAATTATGTAGTCGAGATTCCCACATTTGGGGAATTCGCATTCGCAGACGATCTCTAGAGAAGTGCAAAGTCTACGTTCAACGGAGACTGATACGGATCGTCATTCGCCTAGAGTCTACGTTCACTGTAGACTCTAAGCCAATCAGAGGGCCGAACAGTCTACGTTCAGCCGGGAGAAACGTCATTTGCCCAGAGTCTACATTCCCTGGCAAATCAGAGAGCCGAACTGTCTACGTTCAGCCGCCGAACGTAGACTTCCAATCAGAGCGCTACAGGTGATGGAGATGAAGGTAAGTGACAATGATCTATCGTCGCGTAAAAATGATAAATATGATTGTATTATCTGTCAAAGTACAAGCTAAACGTGATGCATGTCTATTCTTAACTGTTTATTACGTGATGTGTGAGAACGAAGCGTCTGCTAGCATTGTGACGTCTCATTCATTCTATAATTAAGTCAAATTGCAGTCTTTGATTGTTTTATTCTGTTATTCATTATATATGTTAGATTGCAGTCATCGATTGTATAACTTATTACTGAATTTTCATAAATGAACACCTTGTAAAAAAAAAAAACGATTAGCTCACACAATGTAAACAATACAGTAATAAACACCTTTGAGGGTGTGTAGTATTACTAATCTAATAATATATGTTTAAGATCTGCTGATCCTACATGCTTATATAATATATCACATGAAAAGTTAAGGTCAACTGCACTATATTGGGCATTGAGCATGATGATGTCATCAATTTTTGTGGTTTTTTATGTGTGTATGCTTGCATAACGTCTCTGGTTACGTATGTAACCTTAGTTCCCTTTCGTAGTCACTTCGAGTTACGTCAGAAGTGACGGAGATTGGGGGTTTCGCATAGAAAGCCAATCCTCTTCGAGTATTTAATCACGAGCCAATGGCATGCAATGCCTTGGGGCTGCGGAAATTTGCATAGCGTACTCCGCCCTACTCCGTGACTATAAAAGGAGGAAGTGAACGCAACCGCAGTATGTTTTTGCTTCGGAGCCAAGAGATTCTTCACTCCTCAAGCCATTCTCACTGATTCAAGACTCTTCGAGACGAGCGTCCTCTTCAGTGTTGGTGTGACGGCGGTACCCAGCGAGACTCTGCATTGCCTGCGATCTGAGAAGTGGTCTGCCAGACTTTGCGCTTCTCCCTGGTCGCCTCAGCGCTGAAAGAGTGAATTTCCTCCTCTCTGAGTGAAAGAGCTGCACGCGGCATGTCTTTTTAAAGACGACTTGCCCGTGTTCTTCTGGGTGCGATCGTTTCATGTCATTTTCTGATGGTCACGATCGCTGCTCTGTGTGCCTGGGCTTTCAGCATGCAGTAGCAGCGTTCGTGGATGACTCATGTTCCTTCTGAATGGGAACATGAGCATCTCTACACTGTGATCTAGACTCAATGATCTGATAAAGTGAGAGTCCCCGTGTCCGTTACTCGTTCTGCTTCTTAAAATAGAAGCTCTTCGACTCGCGGATAGGGTGATATGACGGTCAATGTGTGGCACAACCCCCGACGCTAGTTCCTCGGGCCACACCCACCGCTCCAGTGTTAGAGCCAGTGAGCGCTGTATCGCTTCAGACGTCTGCCTCTTTGCAGGTACCGTCTGTTTCGTTCAGCGCTCCAGAGGATGATGCGATGACGATCGCAGCATCACAAGGCGGGCTTGACTCCTCGGGAAGTGAGGATGCGGCCGCGTTGCCTCCCTCGGGAGCGTCAACGTCGCCGTGTCTGATCCCGCGATGACGGCCATGCTATCTCGGGCCTCCGTGAGCATCGGGTGGGGGTGGAACTCCACCCTGTCCCGTTCTCTCGCGGCTGGATAATTGTTTTTTGGGTAACACTGCCGCCTTATGGCCACGGCCACGGCCAACCCCAATTTCCTTTTTCCCCGAGATGCATGCGCAACTGACACGCACTTGGGTAAAAAAAAAAAAAAAAAGTCCCGAGAGCGTGCTTCAGTTTCCCCGCCTTTCCTCCCCTCGGCGACGCGGTTGCCTGTGGGTACGCTGGGACTCCCCCGGTGTAGCACTCTGTTGCGATGCAGCTGCGTCCGCAGGGTGTTTCTCCCGCGGTGCTCCCAGATGCCCATCCAAAGCCTATAGGTTCTCGTCGTCTATGGCGGCGCGATCCTGTAGAGCGGCGGGACAGGCCTCCGCCCTGCATATGATGAGCACCTGCTAGCTGCTCAGGAATGTGCACGAGGAGGGGACCGACCAAGCAAGCTGCGAGCCTGCCGCCGACCTCGCTCTCAAACGGGCGACGGAAGCGGCCGCTCGCTCCCTTGGTCAGGTGATGCCCACCACTGTGGTCCAGGAGCATCATCTAAGGAGCATCATCGTTTTGGCGGTGCGGTCCAGGACTTCGCCCAGCAGGTCTCGACCGCCTAGGAGCAGACTAAGGCGGGTTTACACTTCTGCCCCGACGGCCAGCTGCTGCCTCCACCCAGCCGTCGGCTCAGACGCCTCCGCCTGCTCGCCGCCGAGGACGCCCCCCTGCGGCTCCCTTCCCTCCCACGCGGCCCCAGCAGCAGCCTTCAGCCGGTTCGCGTCGTGGAGGCCACAGTTAAGTGTCACAGCCCCCTCAGGCCGCGTGCCCCGCTAACGCCAGGCGAAGCGATGTTCCTGAGACGGGCTGCTCAGTGATAGTGTCACGGTTTTTCACAGGAGGCAGTAGCAGGGCCCCTCCTTCCCCCGGTGGAGGGCCGGTGGAGAATCTTTTGTTCTAGCTAGCTCCTCGCTGCTCACCCACGAATGAGCAGCGCCTTGAGCTGGTTGAAGGAAAACTGACACTATCATTGAGCACACAGACTCGAATGAGCGCGCACGACGTTCCAGTGCGTCGCCCCGCTCATTCCTCTCTGTCTCGGAGGGTGCGGATGGGAGCATGTGTCATCCCTCGACTACACCACTCCCCTCCCCCTCTATCGCCAGACCCCCGGCAGAACAGACCCCCGTGGAACGTGCGTCCTTCCCTGGTCTCTTCTGTCGGGGAACGGGGCTCGACTGTGCATCCGCACGGGGTAACTCCTGTGCGCATGCTGGTCTCCCTGTACCGCTGCCCCTCCGGGAGCTACCGTTTGAGCCACCGTTCAGAATGCTCACAGCCAAACGCATTTTCGAATGTGTCCGGCCGCAGGATTGGTTTGCAGCGATTGACCTGAAGGACGCATACTTCATGTCTCCATTTTTCCTCGACACAGACCGCTCTCGGTTTGCCTCGAGGCCGGGCATCAGTACACGGTTCTCCCTTTCGGGTTAGCTCTGTCGCCTCGCGTCTTCACGAAGATCGTCGAGGCAGCCCTTGTTCCCCTTCGCGAACACGGGGTTCGCATTAGTGTTAATTTCACCAGCCATTTTTAAATTTAGTTTCAGTTTTAGTCCAGTTTCAGCATCGCTTGTTAGTTTTTATCACATTTAGTCGACATCATCCCATTTTTATTTAGTCTAGTTTTAGTCGACTATAAGTCGAGCATTTTAGTCTTTATTTTAGTCCAAGAAAACATAATTTTATTCGTTTAGTTTTAGTCAAAAAAGACTGTCAACATTTTAGTCTAGTTTTAGTCAGGACATCATTTTAACCTTTTACTTTGTTGTCAGCAGATAATATTAAACATTTCCTAAAATTATTTCACATTTCAACATTTTCTCTCATCTTTTTGATAAAAAACACAATTTTAAGGAACACATGCAGACATGGAAGATGTACTGACAATATTTTCATATTTATTTTGAACATTGTTAAGGTTCAAAGACACAATCACAAATGCTTGCATTAAAACAAATAAAATACACCTGACAAAGGAAACAAATAAATAAAATAAAGTGTATTATGAACTTAACACAAGTGCTGGCTGTTTAAAGCTAGTTCACATAGAATAAAAAAATAAATAGATTTGAGGTCAATGTTGTGAAAAAAAAAACTCCAACTGATACAACAAAAGTGCTTTCCTGCCAGCTAGTTCACATGGTATATAAAGGTACAGTATTTAAGGTGAAACAAGGCATAGCTTGCTAGAACGTATGAAGTCTTTTTAAAGCGTCTGTCTGCTTTAATCAAATTTAACTGAAACTATAGTTGCCCGGCCAGTATAACATATCTAAGTTAGCATAAATTTAACTTCACATACAATTCTATCAACAAGTGGCTACGGTCGCTACGTGCTAAGAAGCTAACGTAACATAGCCAGCCTGGATACTAAATGCTATGAAAGTTAGCCATCATTAGTTAGTTTATCATTGTAACAAAATGTGTCCATATATCACGTCTCTTCTTTCTCACGAGCCCCGTGCAAAGCATGTTTTACTTTTAACCTGTCGCCGCCGCCTCACCGTGAATCCAGCTCCTGTCTGCTCCGTGTTGTGTAGGCTACTCTGACTGACTGTGCCCGCCCGCTCCAGGTTTGAAAGTGGGTGTGTGGCGGAAGAGCTGACGAGGAGGAGGCGGAGGAGGAGACAGTATTTGACAAAACCATATCATATAATAATATTTAATTTTCGTCTCGTCTTTGTTCGTGAACTAAAATGTCCATAGATTTTAGCCCAGTCTTTATTTACCGAACTGCATTTTCGTCTCGTCTTTATTAGTCTACGAAAATTATTTCTGATTTACTCCTAGTTATTGTTTATTAGTGGGGATTTTAGTCTCGTCTCGTCTAGAAATATTTTCGTTTAGTTTTCGTTAACGAAATTAACACTAGTTCGCATCCTGAAATATCTCGACGATTGGCTGATACTGGCACACTCTCGAGAACAGCTTTGCGAACACAGAGACCTGGTGCTCCGGCACCTAGCCCGTCTGGGCCTTCGGGTCAACCGGGAGAAGAGCAAACTATGCCCCGTGCATAGGATATCTTTTCTCGGCATGGAGATAGACTCGGTCGCCATGTCCGCGCAACTCACGAACGAGCGCGCGCACTCACTGCTGGCTTGTCTTCGACAGTTCGAAGGCAAGAATGTGGTTCCACTGAAACTCTTTCAGAGGCTCCTGGGGCATATGGCATCCGCAGCCGCGGCAACGCCGCTCGGATTGCTTCATATGAGACCACTTCAGCTGTGTCCCGAGGTGGGCATGGCATCGCGGCTCGCTTCGAGTTCCAGTGACTCCAGCGT